AACTTGCGTTTAATCCTTCGCTGGCTGTGCTGATTTAAATCTAGCGGTTCTGTTGTGTCTTGTGTTGCAAGTTCAGTGACGCAGGTAGTGACAATTCTCTCCGGCCAATCAGTGATCAGCAGAGTTTACACGTCACGTTTTGGTAACGGTACGGTTCGCTTGGAACCTCAACCGAGGTGGTACTGAAAAAAGTACCAGGTACTATACCCAGTGGAAAACCCCCCAAAAGTGAACCGTACCGAACCGTACCGTGCCGTACCATGCAGTGGAAAAGTGCCATAAATGTCTTGGTCCTCGGTTCTATCCAAGTTCATGATACATTCAGCCACTTTCTCATCGTGTTAGAAATGTCACCTGAGCAATCCAGGGACCCAGCTCTCCGATGTGGCAAACTGCCTTAACCCCTACATATCTGAACCTTGATATTTGCAGTCTCATTGTTCCCGCTCCAGAGATTAATTACGGGCCGTTCTGTCACAGCGGGGAGCGACGACATCAGACCGGGCAGACGAGACATGTTGCAGTCCTCGGCATGACAAAGACATCGTCCTGTTACTCTGAGGGACTTTCAATAATCTCGATACAACCCTGACTTCTCTTAACTGTGAAGTGAGAAGAACAGCACACGAGGCAAATCTCACCTTTCTTGATTTGAGAGAGGTGAATTCACAACTCAAAATGTGACCGTCAAAGCGATAAGTTTTAGAGAAGTACACAAGTCAAATTTTGTACCATGTTTCACAGTTACAATCATCCTATCATTGTGTTAACACTGGTGTTCTTGTCAGCGTCTCAGAAACACGGTATATGAGAAGAACAGCAGTGTGGTTGCTTTGATGTCTCGATTAAGAATTGATCGCTGGAGTCTCTAGTGTGCAATGACTCGGAGATGTGTAATGGAATTGATCCCGCTAGATTTACTTTGGTCATTTTGACCGAGGCAACAAACTCACTCGACTTTATCGTATCGTTAAATCTGATCCAAAAGAATCAAACGGTGGGAAGTTACACCTTGTTTGTCACATTGTACTTTCAGCACACTTTAAATCTTATGTACCGATTTTTAGAGAGACTCTGACAAAGCAACTCTGTCACTCCGGAAGTGCGATGTGTCACGGAGATCCTTGTGTTGGACAGGATGATGTGTTCGAGCAGGAACAGGAATAGGGCCATCAGTCTGCCAGGTAAGACAGGAAGAGCTGTCAAGCCGGACTCGATCTAACAGAACTAGGCACCCCATGTGAAATTCAAACCCAATATAAATACCAAGCCCCTATTTTCTCTGTCCAAGGATGCTGCTATTTG